CTCGACGTGCCTTGACCTTTAGCGGATAAAATGCAAAATGACTGTCACACTGCAAAATAATAGTCTACATAACTCCCTGAATTGCTGTGCTTGTTTTCCAACATTAGATGACGGACAGATGACCCAGCTGGATTTCTCCTGGACCGATAACAACGAACTCCTAAAGCCTAGATTTTGTCTACATGTAGCAATGCCCCAAATCCCCTCATGACAAATATAGTAGACTGATGGATCTCCTGCTCTCTGTCAGCTTCAGTGCACCTGCATTGCAGTCTTGATTGACAGCGACTTGAGAGTGAGCTCCCCAGTGGGCTTGTGCAGCTCTCTTAAGAGAGTTTTAAAGCAGCAAAGGTAAATGTGGGCAGAGAGGATGTAACCCCACATGTTTTCTCTGAGCGTTCGGTGGAAATGTTTCAGGAGAGAGAAACAAATGCAGACTTTTGCCATGTTTCATAAAAATACTCTGAAATCCACACCAAACTGTGAAAGACGGCTTCTCAAACAGTCAGAAATAATACTAATGCATTACAAGTTTGATGCTCAAGGTTGAGGCTTAGTGCTGTCTGAGGAAAAAAAGTCTGGAGTAGCTGCCAGTCCAAGCCTTTTTCTGTGTACTTTATGCCATTAAGTGCTTGTATTTGTGGGCATTTAGAAAACATAACATTTTCTAACTTCCCTCCCTCCTTTTTTCCTTCATACGATCTTTATTGCAAGGCTTTATTGAGGAATTTCTAGCCCCAAAAATACACTCCACACTCTACATGAAGTCATTTCTTCTACCTCAGGTCTGATGTAGAGCAGTCCACCAGAATCACAATATAAATTGCCATATCAGAATCAATTGGTGTGGGTAAATTTGTAATCAAACTGCAATAAATGCATCATTTCAGAGATGGACAACACTGATTGGTAAATATTCAACATTACAGCCGGATTTCTTCCAAAAAAGGCTGATGAAATACCAGCCATATCCTCCTCTCTCAATTCATAACATCTGCATTTGCGTACTACAGTCACTCCCTTGTCTCATTAGAACACAATTAACAAGCAATTAGAGTTTATTGTGGGTGAATTAGCTGACGTGTCGAGCAGACTTAATGTACTGGGAGTGTAAAGGGATATTACCCGCCACCAGTGAGAGAAGTAGAAAAGGAGAGGAGGAGGAGGAGGAAGAAGAAGAGGAGCGAGGGCAGGAGTTGGACCAAGAGGAACAAAAAAAGTGAAGATCAGAGGCTTTTGATTCTGAAAGTACAGGGTGAGAATAAGAGCAGTAAAGTGAAAAATTGCCTGAGGAGGTTGAGCCAAGATAGGATGAGAGCAAGAACGAGAACACGACAGAATAAATGTCAGAGTGATGGTACTGGGTTCTAACTCTCATGACCTTGGGGAATAAGACAACATGTACTGAGTCAGTACATGTTGGCAGTAAGTCTGTAAGGTCATGTTTTAGCTCTGTCATATGTTATGTTTATCTGCACGTCTGAGTGTGTGAGTTTATATGGATACTCCGCTCAGGGTGAGGAAGGGACACAGATCCTAAATATAGGAGAAAAAAAATACATTATAGTCATACTTAGACTAATCTGTTGGGTTAGTATTGTTCTTGTAGTAAAATATTTGTGCCAACCTCATCGTGAGCCAGTGTAATTACTATCATAACAAGCCTTTTAGAAACTTTTAAGGTTTATTAAAAAAAAAAGAAAAAAAGAGGAAGAATAAAAATAGAGTCCAATAAATGGTGTGAATGTAGCAAATAACACTGGCTACTAAATCAAAACCTTCAGCACTTAATTACTTGAAAAATATGCAGTCGTTTATTTAATTTGCACCTCCTCGCTACTTGCAAAAAAAAAATAATCCAAAAGATTTGGAGAGGTATAAAAATATTTTCTGTTAAAAGACTCACTAAAAGGCCAAATGGCTCATATAAACAGTAGTTATAGTCCAGGAATGCCTTGTTTTTTTTTCTTGTGTGTGAACTGTTTTACCAAAGTATTAAAATGACAAATATTACACATTTGGTTTAAAAGGATGAATGCTGTACTGATTTTCTGTGAGGTCAGAGGCTGAACTTCTTCATTAATCTCGAGGATAGTACTTATTAGACAGCATTTATTGTCTGTTTGAAAGTGGAATGTTTATAGCCTTGTACTGAAAACACTGTTTTAGGTGACTGCTTGTCTTGGCAGGTGCCTTTTTTTTCCCTTTCTTTTTACAAATTACAGGGGATGAGAAAAAGGTCAAATCTAATAATTATAGAAAATACAGCATTGAAGTCCACATCAATTTGTACTGTCTGTTACTGTCTATGAACTCCATTCTCATTCCACCTTTATTTATTTCTGTCAGCTTCACTTTATCAATCTCAATCTATCTCTAAGTTCTAGATCATACAAGCTCCTAGTTACCTCCTATCTACTTTGATCTACCTCTATCTCTGTCTGTTTCCATTTACCTTTATCTCTATCTTCTTTGTACTTCCATCTGCTCTGTCTCCACCTCTTTCTACCCATCTCTAAGTGCCACAGTCCGCCTCTGTGTATCTTTATCTGTCTTTGCTGCCTGGCACATTTCTGAGGTTTTGACTCCGAGCATGAGTGAGCATTCTCCTCTCAAGCATCCCCATTTATCCATCTTTTGACAATTAAACTTTGATGCCGATTTGTTAGAATAAATAGGGAGCAGTGAATTATTTATGGTTGGATTTAAAAACACTGAATCAAGCACACGCGCTCACACAACCACACACTGCTGAAAACACCCATGCACAGATCAATAATAAATCACACAGCAGCAAGAGGGAGGAAGAAGCGTTGAGCGAGGCATTTATAGTGCACTGGGATGGTAAATATAAAATATGGACACGCATACACATAGGCAGTAGTCTCAAATACATATATTTCATTTGCAGTTTGATTCTTGTCGATGATTTATAGAGCCTATGAACACACAGAGGCCTTGATCGCTTTACAGAACGAAGAAAAGAGACAGACAGCTAAAGACTGAGGAATGGAGGCTTCTTTTTGTCAAGCACTAAGGTAGTCTGACACAGCTTTAATCTAGAAATGAGCAAATAGTGTCTCCTCTTTGTCTCTCCTCCTCCCTTCTTATTTCTGTTTTTTCCCTGTTCAAACACAAACTCAGCCTCAGTCCCTTGCATCCACAACTCTCTGCTCTTCGTAATTAAATTATCAGTACAATTGAGCATCTAGACATGATTCACTTTAACAGATCACTCATCGTAGAAACACAAGAGGGAGGAAACGACGGAAAAATATCTGAGCCTCGGGAAGCGGTGACAGCTTAATTTTTGTGTGTTGTTAAAGTGCGGGAGGATGGCGTCGTACTGTACATCGAAGCAGCCACATCTCCAGCCTGCAAAAGCCAATTTAGACACACTTGTGATGGAAGCTTCCGTGCTGATGTGATGTAACGCCGCATCTGGGAAATGGAGGGCGATGGCAGATAGGTCTATCGTGATTCAGGACAGCCCTCTTAAAACCAGTCACACCAAAAAGGGCTTTTCACAGCATACTTTATTGCACCGCTTAAAAGCTCTTTGGCAACATTAAGCCAGGGGCAACACTTCCCCCACTGTTACCCTCTTCTGTTCACTTCAACTTCCCTCTCTTTGAATCCTTTCATGCTTGTAGTGTTTTTTAAATCAAATTCTTGTCCACATAGTCTCATCCTGCTGTGCTCCTGCATGCTCTCTCTCTCTCTCTTTCTCTCTGAAGCTGGGTCACCTTGAAAGTCTCTCTATCGCTCTCTCTCTCTGATCACTCACTTTGCTGACAAGTATTTGCGCTTCTCTCAGTTTTCAGCTGGTGATGCAGAGAAGAGAGAGAATAATACGCCCAATCCTCAGAGACTTGCAGTGTTTCTTGAGCGCTGTACGTTGCACATTTCGACTGAACTGACCCAACACACTGATCAGCCACAACAATAAATTACAATGACAGTTGACATTAACAACAGTGATCATTCCGTTACTCTGCAATGCTCTGCTGAGAAACACTGGATGGTGGCATTCATTTGGATGTTACTTTGACACATACCATCCACCTAGGCATTGTTGCAGACCAGACACACTGCCCTCATGGCAGCAGCACTCCCTTTTACCATTGGATTCAACTGGGATTGACACGCTTTTGGAGCCTGACTCAAGCGGCCATTTGAGGAACTGTAGTTTTTGGCAGTTTTGCATTGGCTTAATTTGTCAGGTAGCAGTTAGCATATAAATGCTCACTTCTTCCAAATGAGTCACGTTTAGTTTGCAAGACAGGCTTTGTTAATCATTTTAAGTCTCAACCCCATGCTGAGATCATCAGGATTACCTAATACACTGCTGCCCATAAAAGTGGAATAATTTTTGTTTTCACACACATTCCTCTTTTTATTTCTATTTAGATGCAATGATGAGATATTGAGCCCTAGTCCCAAGGTAAAACAAATTCTGACTTCAGGATCTGACCGAAGAGTGGGACGCACTGCCCATTGACACCATCAACAAGCTTGTGGACAGTGTTCCGCGATGTCTTAACGCATTGATCCATGACAGAGGTGGCCATACTCAATATAAGTGACATTTGAAAAAGTAATATTGGACATTCTTATACATGAAATCCCCTTGAAAAATGTAAACAAAACCCCTAATCCTACTGTTCAATACTCCCAATTTGTTTAAGCTTGAATATGCAGTTTTCAAAAGTTAATTGTGGTTTAATTTTTACTGTGATATGTATTGTATGTATATTGTGATATCAGTAAGGTTTTGAGAAGATATACACTTTATCTATCAAAATTAAATTGCATTGTCACAATCATTTCAAGAGAAGAGGTTAAAAAAAAGTATTTTATTCCAACTTTATGGGCAACAGTGTATATGTGCTGTTAGGTGCTGAAACGAACGGGGAAAAAGCAGGTTGGGATTGAGGCCCTATATGTTTGTAAACCTGTCGGTTGTTATTTTTGTGGGTGTGTGTAGCGACAACACTAACCGTTTGCTTTATGTCTGGAATGCCGATCCGAAACACCATCATGGCGATGTGGGCGTCCTCAGATGCCACTGAGCTGGCACTGCGATCCTTCAGCCTCCTCTGCTGTTGCTGCTGCTGCTGTATCTGATTGGCTGGCTGTTGGTGTGTGGGTCCAGGGTTGGACGAATAGGGGTTAGCAGTGTGTCCAGGGTTTCCTGGCCGGATCTGTCTGTCCCCAGTGGGTCGTCCAGCCAGTTTACCTGACTGCCTGTGTCCCTCACCTCTGCCTCTTTGTTGCAGGCCTCCTCGTCGGACCTCCTCCACCATCTCCTCCTCATCGTCTTCCTCTTCCCCCTCCAGCTCGCCGTTCTCCTCCTCTTCCCCGTCCTCATCGCGCTCATCTTCTTCCATTTCCTCCTCCTCCTCTTCCTCCTCCTCTTCCTCGTCTTCTGCCCCAGGATAGAGATGTCGATTGTTTCCCAGCATCCTTTGTTGCTCCTCGTCGCTGGACAGGGGGCTAAACGGCATCGTCATGGCGACAGAGAGGGCGGCACCAGTGGCAACACCATCATTCCCAGAGAGACACTGCAGGGGAAAAGAAACAGGAGAGAACATGATCAAAACAAAGACAAATTGCAGAAGAAGTTTGTAAGTAGAAAGGTTCTTTTTTTTCCCAAGTGCTTGTAGGTCTCGATACAACATCACTGAAACTCTGGTCTCTATGGGAACAGACCACTTCACTTACAGACATGCAGTACTCCTAACCCTCACCACATGATGACATACTATTCACACCTCATGCATAAATGAACCATGAGCTATTACACGCAAGACTTTCCTGCAGATGTCTGAACTTTTTGAAGCTTTCTGTCTCTATGACAAACTGGTATTAACTCTGAGAAATAGCACCATGCCAGTTAGTATTACTACAATAGAAGAGACTTCTAAGGAGATACTATTGTGACACATACTAACTCGGAAGACAGTACTACACAGAATAAGTTAGCACTGGGCAGAACTAGCCTTATTAAGGTTATACTTACACTATGACATTGACAATAAACAACAAAACATTTCTCTGTTGATGTAAAAGACATCAGAGAGTTGACTTTGATATTTCTGCTATTATAGCACTGAGGCCCAAGGATAATGAAACTAACTAGTGTCTCTGATAAGTGCAACTATCAGGCAAGATCGTCCACATTTACACAAGTGCATTCAGAAAATTAATTCTTCCCCTTTTGAATGCCCTGAAACCTTTATTCGTGAAGCCAAACATATCAACTTTGCATCATTATCTTGGTACCTTCAATTGTGAATAAATCCATATCTGTTTTTCTGCTACTTCTGTCAATTTTATCCTCCAAATACCAACCTTATTCCCTTTATTACCCTTTAAAGGTAAAGTCAGCAATTCTAGTCCGATACAGTTTTTGTCACAATTCGAGAACATCTCCTCATGTTCTGCTTGCTGGCTAATCTATGCGTTCATTAAATAAAGTTGATGTTTGCACTATTTCAGTGTGTTGTGTGCATGTTCACGCTCATGCATGTTCATGTCTCAGTGGAGAGGGAGGGGACGGTGGGAGCGAGAGGGATGATAAATCTGGTACATGCTAACTATCTAAACATGCCAACTAGCTAAGTATTCGCAATATTTTTGGAAAATTGAATTATTGCGAGCATTGTTCTCATAAAAAACAAACAAAAAAAACATATTATGGAAATATTTTGTTATTGCAGTTTCAGCATCTTGAAGCGGAGTGAAAAATCCAACAACATCCTCAATAAACCAATGCACAACCTTACTCTACACAGCAGACAATTGTCAGTGCACATCTGCTATACAGACACTCGTAATGCACAACAGCACTTCATATAAAAGACTATACACTCTTGCTCTTGCCATCACCCCTGAGAGAGCTGAGAAGCCACTTCAGAGTGCCAGTGAGCAGGATAACAGATCTGTCCCTGAAGGCCTCTGCTTGGCTCTGTGCGCAGTTTCAGGATTTTCAGCACCACTACATTCTGGACAGCTCCACACAGAACCAAACAGCTGAATAACAAATGGTGGGAGGGATGACGCTTTTACACAGGAGGATTGACCAATCAGCAGCAAGAGATAGTAGAGAGAGCGGCAGGAAAACCAAGAAAACATCTCGTTTCGAAGTAATTACACACATTTATTCAAGTAGCTGTAATTACTAGTCACTTTGCAGATTCAGGTTTTACATACAGATGCGAATACCTCTTTCACCACTGATCTGAGAAAAGTATGCAAAAATGAATTTGTACAAAAATGAATTGCAAATGATGGTTTCTCATCTGAACATTTATCTGGAAAAAATATTAGCATCAAGCTTGTTTTCATTTGATTTAAAATGAATATCAAGTACAGAATAATGAGACGGCTTTGAATTATAAATTGACTTCTGTGTGTGTGTGTGTGTGTGTGTGTGCATGTGTGTCATGAAGTAAATGTGAGAAGCAGGGGGAATTAGAGCCATGTTGTGATGGAAAGAAATGTGTTAGACTCGCAATGTTGACGCTTTCCTCATGGGACACTAAAAGAGAGTAAGTTCTACGAGCTGTCCAATTCAACGAGCAAAAAAGGGGAAGAATGATGGATGGCAGAACGATACGTGTGGCAATAGATATTCAGTTTAAGTGTTGCTTAGGCTGGTATTAAGTCTTAAAATGGTATTCCTCTTGAAATACAAAGATGTGGGAGTAAAGGGCGAGTATTCCACCTTTCTATAATATATCTCACGCCAAGAATTTTCTTGAAACAAGTATCATTTATTTGATGCCAGTAGAGAAATGCGTACCTTGATCTGTGCTGTTTGGAGGCAATACCTCAAATAAATTAAACTGCTTTACAGAAAATTGGAATTTCTTACCACAGACCTTTATTTGATCGAACGAAAAACACCATTTTAAACCTAAATTAAAGGCGAAACAGCTTGTTAACGTGATTTTTTTTTGGGGGGGGGGAATATACGTCAGTTTCTCTCTTTCTATTTCTCCTCACTTCTCACATACACAAACAAACTCACTGAGTGCAGAACGGGTTGTGATAAATACTGGCTCGCTGGCAACAAGTCTGTCTCCAACTTTTGAAAGCCTATTAGCAGTCGAACTTCTGTTCACAGTCATGAAGAAAGACGGAGATGGCAGACAAGTGTGCAGTAAACTGTAGTACATAACATCCAGATTGTACCACCCACTGATGTCGAAAAAGAAATGGAAAATGAATCATTATTATTGTTTCGTATGCTATCATGTTTGAAGCATAACCATTTTGAATATTTGTCTGACAGCTTCACATCAATAGATCCCATTTGTATCTCATTTTCTGTTTTACATGTAATTTTTTATTTTTATTTTTTACATCTACTGCAGTAAATAATGACTACATCTGTAAGATAAATGTGGTGGAACAATTAGTGCATTACATTGAGTATAAAAATGCATAAAATGTACCTAAGAACCATAAAACTGCAGCACTTCAGTAAATGTAAACATAAATGGGTATTAACTAGGCTGTTTTTATATAGCTGCATCAGCCATTGCATTTTTGAATCTTTGGTAAAGGTTAAAAAAGCCTGACTTAAATGTAAATGAAAATTAATGAGGCCTCTTACATCAAGCTGTTTCTGACCATTTAGAGGAGTGCCAGAGGAATGAAACAAAACCAATGAAATTAGAACAAGCTTGTGAGTACAAACAGACAGCGAGTGAAGACGAAACGGGAGGAGAAAGAGGCTGGAAACAAAAGCGAATTGATGAATAAAAGACACAAGGGCAGAGAGAGAGAGAAAGAAGAAGAGGGAGAGAGCAGGGAGGCTTCTGCAGGCTTTTCAGAACGCTGACCAACCAGAGAGAGGTACCTACAGAAGATATGATAATAAATGGAAGTGAACAATCCATATTTTTGCATAGTGCTGAGCAATCAAAGATAGGGGAAGCTAGAGAGGGAAGAGGGACAAAGGGGGAGGTAGCAAAAAGAGAGAGAGAGAGAGAGAGAGAGAAGCAAAAGGGAGACACAGACATCAAACAGGAAAGAGAAGCAAAAGTTAGAGGTAATAAAGCAGAATTAAGAGCCCACAACTATGATCGCAGCTCGTAAGGGTCAGTGTGACATAAATTTTTGTCACCCGTGTTCGTCAAAATTTGTACTACAAGCACGCTGACTACACATGAGCTAGAAAAGAAGCCTGATACCTGCTTTCTGTCCTATCCATATGTACTAGTGTTGTCACAATAGCAAAAATATTACTTTGATGCGATGACTTCCTAAACATAGCAATAATGATGCTAAAACAATACCAGATGAAGAACCTAAAACATCAGGAAAAGCAATGGAATAACAGATGACAGAGCATACAGGAGAAACTTTCAATCTTAACATTTGGACAATATCAATGCGAGGCAGTGGCAGTCATAAGACGGCAGGAGTGAAATATTGTATTGAAGTGTTTTTCATATCCAACCAAAACCGGCAACAACTTTCTCCCTAAGATGTCTCTTTAACTGTCATACTGCCGCTTATAAAAAGATAAATCCTAGGAGCAGATCATTGTGACTGGTATTTCTGATCTGCTGATATGTGAATCCTTTTCATTTAATTACATTATATTAGTACGCAGCTTAGAGAAGTTACCAGTGTTGCGGTTGCATTAGGGATACTATTGATTATCGGCTTATTGATTAATTGCCTTTGATAATTTAGCCAATTATCATTTTATGAACTGACAAGGCAGAAGGTGAAGGACATGCGTGTCAGAAAATGCAGTGTACATTAGCAATAATGCCTGGTGGTGCCACCAGATGGAGCCTCTTACTATTTCACACTGTAGTGACCCCAGGAGGCTGTTGCTTGGACTACTAGCTGGCCAAGCAGCAAGCATTGTGGGAGTTTAGCTAGTAAAGGGCCACCATGAAAAAGTCCGTGATGCTTAATCCCTACCTTCAGAGGTCTCTTTTATAGGTAAGCTGAAGTGTGCTAAGACAGCATCACTGTTGAAGGTAGTTGATAATCTTAGAAGCAGAATGTCACGTGGCATAAGCTGTTGCAGCAGCTCATGTCACATGACCTCATTCAATTCAGTTCATTTCATGTCATGTCATCGTTTAATCAACAGTTGATTGATGAGGCTGTTGATAGTAGGTTAGGAAATTTGTCCAAAATTTCTATCCCTAGTTTGTATATAGAGATGTTTGTCACTTTGGTAAATATATAAATAAATAAATTACAGTTAAAATAGAGCGTATTATTGCCCTTCATTGCCAAGTCATGCTCTGATGGTAAATAAGGTTCACTTGTCACAAAATGAATCACTCTTTGACGAATCTGTAGCTCTAAGAATTCTTTGAACAATGTTGCATGTGTGTCGGTGAGATGCTTTGCCAGGTTGGACATGTTGGCTCCCTCAGGTTTCATGGTGTGTGTTTGTGTGTGGTCTTGTCCTGACTAATGGCTGCAGGCAAAAATAATGCCATCGTCTACGTTTTGCATTTATGTTGTGGACAAT